TACACTGAGAAATTCTATGTTTCAATTACTTTGTGACCTTTAGGTGCCCATTTAAGCCGCTCGGACATTTGAACATGATTCATTCTCGACTAATCGCAGTAAGACATCTAATTAGATCATCAGACACAGACTGCATTCATAAACAACAGAACTGGAGTTAATGGCTTCCCTGGATTGGTTCTGTCAGAGAGGAGAGCTTCCTGAACTGACAAGTCAGAGCTTTGTTTACGTTGGAAGACGGATCGGGCTCGACCTCTGAACCCGCTGCCTTCAGTTTGTTCTCGTCTCAGACTCCTGCAACAACACAGCCCGACACATGTGCACCTCTGGAACATGTGTGGTGCTGGACAAGCAGAGGCGGAGCAACAAGTGATTAAAACAGCTCAGATTATGTTGGTGTGCAGCCGTTTTACAGATTAAAGATGAAAAGGATGAACTGTGCACAGATACAAAGATACTTCTGTGGGTGATTTTTAAAAAAAGATCTTAGCTGAAAATTGGCATACAGTAGATGATTTATTTATTTATAAAAGGTACATGACCTGTACTTGTTTAACACCTTTCTATCAATTCAAGATACTCAAAGCTCTTGACAACATGATCTGTGCCTCATTCGCCTCCACACACATTCATAAAGAACTCTACATCTCTACAAACACTAATCAGTGCTTCAGATCACATTCAGACATGGGACAAACATCAATGAGGGGTTCAGTGTCTTGCCCAGGGACACTTCAGCATGTGACTGCTGGTGGAATCGAACCCCCGACTCTCCCATTGGAGGACGACTGCTCTAACCACTCAGCCACAGCTGCCCCCCATTTATACAAGTCAGTCCTGTTGAAACAAAATTGTTTCATTTGTAAGAGAAACCTGAAAATGATGCATCTTTTACTTCCTGTGTCAAGTTCTTGCTGGATATTTTGACCATATTTTCTAAATAAATAAATAAATAAATCATATTTACTGTTGGAGTCAGCCTCCCCACCATCACACACATCTACACCTCCAGATGCACGAAGAGGACCACCTGCATCATGAAGGACCCCACTCACCCAGCACACACACTTTTTGCCCCGCTCCCCTCAGGAAGAGCATTAAGTGTAGAACCACTAGACTGAGGAACAGCTTCTACCCTGAGGCTGTTAGACTCATGAATCTCTAACCAGGAGAATCACTGTGAGAAAAATAAAACTGTGACAAATCACTGTAATGCACTTGGTTGTTGATGTGTGCTGCTGACTATCCATGATGCTGATCTCATGCTGCTGATTATTTTGTGTTGCTGTGTTCATTAGTCCTCATCTGCTCACACAGGCTCATGTTCGTGCTGCTGTTGTTTTGGCACATTGTTTTGTACCATTAGTGCTCAGTGTATCCTTCGTTTAGTAAATGGTAAATGGACTGCACTTATACAGCGCCTTTCTATCTGATCAAGATACTCAAAGCACTTTACAACAATCTGTGCCTCAATCATACAGCTCTATACTAGATCTCTACAAAGATAATTGAACAAATCATTCTAAAGAGACTAATCAGAGCTTTATCACATTCATACACTGATGGGACACACATCGGAGGCAATGAGGGGTTCGGTGTCTTGCCCAGGGACACTTCAGCATGTGACTGCTGGTGGATTCGAACCCCCAACTCTCCCATTGGAGGACGACTGCTCTAACCGCTCAGCCACAGCCCATAGTGAATGTAGTATATTCTTAGTTCATGACTCGGATCTTACTAATGTTTTTCTTTACAGTTTGCGTTTTGTTGGATGTAACTGGGACCCTGCGTCCACAGTTTCGTCCCACCTCATGTATCGCGTGTGTATGACAAATAAATCTCTCTGAATCTAAATAATAATATATACTTTTTTATTTACCCTTTAGAGTCACGAGAACTCATTTTCAAGAGAGACCTGTTTGGGAGCAGATGGTGGCAGTTAAGTGCCTTGCTCAAGGGCCCAGAGTGAGGCGAACGAAGATGGAGGCAGGTGTGGGTGTTTCACCTTTTCCACTCACATTTTGATGCTGTCGGTACCGGGAGTTGAACTTGCGACTTTCCGATCACAGGCGCATCTTCTCTAACCTCTGCACCACCACTCCGGAACAACAACAACAACAACAATAATTATTATGATAATAAAAAGAACCAATAAGAATATCTTTCAGAGTTTGTTCATCTGCCGTGAATAGATCTTCTTGTCCAGTTGAATTATAAAAATAAAACATTGCTCAGAATGTCAATTACAAAGTTTTTAACTACTAACTTCTGGCCACCACCTTAGAGTAACAACACAGTTCATATTATTTTATCTTTTGATGTACTTGTACAACTTTGAAGTTTTATGATGATAAAACAAGAGACCCCACTTCAAGCAGGTTCTTTATAAACTCTGTTCTTTAGGTGACCACAAGATGGCAGCCCAAAATAACTTTAGCTGCTCTTTTCCAACTCTGGGCCCTCACCTGATTTATTCATCACCAGTGTGAGTCAAAGTAGATCCATTTGAAATCAGACATCTTTTGTCTCCAGTAAAACATCTGACACACTCCTGAACCATTCCACACAGATCAGTCCAGACAGATAAACGGACGCTCAACGGATGGAATCACCTTTAAACACGTCAGACAGGAAGTCGTCCTGCAGTTACAAGCCTCCGCTTCCTGTCTGGCATCTTAATCAGATGCTCCATTAAACTGTCCACCTATAAATAAAAAAGATACGTTTTAATTTGAGTCAGTTTTAGCTTTCTTCCTACAAGACAATCAAATAACTCCAGAGAAATAATCTCATCTAAAAGAATTTAATATTTATAAACCTGCGTGGAATGAGGCCAAAAGAAACCCCGAGGAGCTGTTTCACCTCTGAATCAACACTTTAAAACACAGAGCATTATTTTCTAATTGCAACACTGAAAACTATTACATGAAAAACAGTTTAAGTTTTAAACTAAAATGCCCCGAAATATTAATTACACAGCAGCAGTTTGTTAAAAATTATAATTTGTCATTTGTAGTTTTGAAAGAATGACCAGAAATCACCAATAAATATTTATTAAGAGGTTTTATTTTCAAAATAAAGTTTTCTATCAAAGTGTGAATTATACATATTTACAGTCTTGTAAAATCACATATACAAATGTACAAGATATGTACAAAAATAATTATATAAATACACTTTGAGCGCTTCTGCAACCCGTACGACTGTATGAATTAAGGCATTGATTCGTGTAGAAAACTGTCTCCAGCAGAGGAGTCTCCTGTGAACGAGGTGTTTAAGACACGGCGGCTCTTCACAGTTTAGAAGAAGTAAGTGTCTTACCTGCAGGCTGCCTGTAAATCCCAACAATAATAAAATGACCACAATGTGATTTAATTCAACGCATAAGCTCAAACGGTACCACTTTACAATAAGACTCCCTTTATAGATGCTAATGAATAGTTTATAGATATGTTACTAATTCCTCTATAAACACTTTATAAATCATTAATAATTGTTTATTGTGCATTAATTAAGGGTGAAAGAGACAAAACTGACCAGTTTCTCACCAAGTAGTGATCCAAATCTGTTGTTATATCAAACATTTCAGTTACTATATATAATATTAGATTTAGACACTTATAATGCAGTGATAAAGTACAATATCATATGCTAAAGAAATAGGTTTACAAATGCTTATTGTGCTTACAAGATAGTAACTTAGTCTGAAATGTTTAATATAACTCGATGAAATACATGCAGCAGATGTGGATCACTATTTGGCAAAAAACTGGTCAATTTTGTCCGTTACCCTTAATTAATGCATAATAAGCAGTTATTAATGATTTATAAAGTGTTTAAAGAAGGATCTAGAAGGAAGAAGATCTACAAGGGGAGTCTTATTGTAAAGTGATACTGCTCAAACTATACATTTTTAATTACCTGGTTAGGTCTAATTGTAGGAGAATTTGAACTTTAATGAGTCCGAACTAATTTATAACTAATCAACTAATTGGACTAATTGGATTGTTTGTTGTAGAAATATGAAGTTGTTCTCTGATGGATCAAAAGGTGTCAGCAGAAAGTTTAAACGTTTCGTTCAAAACAGCAGAACAACAGCCACTTATTGACTCCATGCGAACAGAACAGCTTCAAGTCGTCTCAGCTCGTGTGCAGGGGACTGAGTGACATCAGGGGTTCCTAAAGTTGGTGTCGGGACCCCACTCATGTCCAAATATTCAATGTTTCAAAGAATAAATGTTAAGGCCATTACTTTGTAGCGATATAAAGTCTGTACAACTTAAACTGACCGAGGTCACGAGACCCTGTTCTGCTGTTTTATGGGTCACAAGCTGGAAGGTGTGGGAACCCCTTGACAAGTGGTGCATTCAGGTAAAGACTAAATGTTTAAGTTACTCAGTTTGTTTATGTGAAATAACTGAAGGTAAATATTTCCAGCTGTGGTCAAACAGATCAATTAAGTGGAGCTGATTTTACAAGTTTAAATTAATAAACTCTTGACAGCAACTTGTGTTTTTCAGTGTATGGGGGGGGGGGGGGGGGGTGTCCTCAGCTGCAGGCGTTCAGTGAAGCCCAGATAAGACTCTGCATTCTTCCAGTCAGGTGCATTGTTCTGCTGCTGACAGCCTCATTATTTAAAGAGGAGCCATTAGGCCTCATTAATGCGCTAATTACAACAAGCTCATGGACAATCCCGACATAATTAGTCCCCCCCAGCCCCCCACTCAGCCCCCTCCAGTTGTTGGATGAGGCAAAGGGACATGACTTTAAACTCATCCTGTAACTTTTTCAGACACAATGGGACCAAAGTTAAACAATAATTCTCCTCAGAGGCTTCATGGACCGCGGCAGGTTCGGGTTCTGTAATAAAACACCATCTTTAAGTCCTTCTTTAAATGTCTGAATAACCCCCACGATCCCCCTACACTCATCTCCCTCTCCCTCACCCTACCCCTGCTCCCCCACCCCCCCCCCCCCCCCCCCCCCCCCCCCATCCCGGTTCAAACCCGGGACAGCGGCATTTGTTTGGGACAGGAGACAGAGCTGGCCGTCCCGGACCTCCACGTGAGTCCCGTGCTCACGTCGCTGTACATGGAGCCCGCGGACGCTTTGCTCCCCCAGCAGCAGCGCGTGCAGAAAGTCCTCCAGGACTCCAGCGTTTTCCCGGACCAGATCCAGGCCCCGGAGGTGATCCCCACCAGCAGGCACATGAAGTACTTGAGCATGAACACTGCGTAGTCCGGCCTCTGCCTGCTCTGGTCCGTCAGGCACGTGCAGTTGTGCGTAATTTCCCACATCTGTCTGTTGTGCTGCTCGTAGAAGTAACACGCCACGATCACGGTGGCCGGGACGGTGTAGAGAACCGTGAAGACGCCGATCCGGATCATGAGCCGCTCCAGCTTGTCGGTCTTGGTGCCCCCCTGCTTGATGACGCTCCTTATCCGGAACAGCGACACGAACCCGGCCAGGAGGAACATGGTGCCGATGAACAGGTAGATGACCAGCGGGGCCAGCACGAACCCCCGCAGGTTATCCAGGTTCTGGTTCCCCACGTAGCAGATCCCAGCCACGGAGTCCCCGTCCACCGAGCTGAGAGCCAGAACCGCGATGGACTTCAGACTGGGGATGAGCCATGCGGCCAGGTGGAAGTACTGGGAGTAACTGGCGATGGCCTCGTTGCCCCACTTCATCCCTGCAGCCAGAAACCAGGTGAGGGACAGGATGACCCACCAGATGGAGCTGGCCATGCCGAAGAAGTAGATGAGCAGGAAGACGATGGTGCAGAGCGCAGGGCCCGTCGTGTCATAGTGGATGTGTTCCGCGCCGTGCTCCCGGCTGCACGCGACCTCCTCGTGCCCTGCAATCAGCCTGACGATATATCCCACAGACACGAACATGTAGCAGGCAGAGAGGAAGATGATGGGCCGCTCCGGGTACTTGAACCTCTCCATGTCGATGAGGAAAGTTGCCACAGTCGCGAAAGTTGAGATGAAGCAGAGGACGGACCAGAGACCGATCCAGAAGGAGGTGAAAGTCCTCTCCTCCTGGGTGAAGTAAGGGTTGTGGCACGGCATGGCACAGTTCGTGATCTGTCCCGTTTTGACACGGTTGTGCAGCGGGTGTCCGTCCCCGCTCAGCGGCACCATGGGCGCGCGGCAGAAGCACCCCGCCTCGCACAGAGGCGCACCGCCCGGCTTGTGTTTCCCGGGGAAGCCTCGGCTGAAGCCGCTCTTCTTCTTGTTGTAGGGCTTCAGGGGCCGGTTGGTGGGCTTGGCCAGGACCGGGGAAGCCGTGGTGGTCTGGCTCCGGTTGTGGTCCATGCACAGAGTTTCCTGGTCGCCTTGCTCCGGGAGCAGTTCGCACCTCATCCGGTCCGGCCACGGGAAGCCGTACTGCTTCATGAGCGGCGCGCAGCCGGCTTTGGCGCGCTCGCACACGCTCCTGCACGGCGGCAGCGGCTTCTTGTAGTCCTCCAGGCAGATCGGAGTGTACATGCTGCACAGGAAGAAACGCAGGTCCGGGGAGCACTTGATCACCACCAGGGGCCAGAACTGGTGCGCCTCCAGGCCAGCCTCGTCCTGCGTGTCGTGGTTGAACTGGTTGGGCATGTAGGTGTAATTGTAGCCGATGCCTTTGCACAGAGGGACAGAGATCTCCTGGCACTGCAGCTCCTTGGCCGCCATGCAGCGCGTCCCGTGCAGGATGAGGGGGAAAATGAGCGCGCACCATCCCGGGATGCTCCTCTCCATCGTTGGCTCCTCCTGTGCGCCAGAAAGTGACTTTAAACTCTGATCAACCGCGCGAAGCTGCTCCGCTCATGCTCGCGCTCAGTCAGAGACTCTTCAGGTGAATTCCTCAAAACGAGCGTTTTATTCTCAGTCGAGCCTCAGCTCCTCTTTGTGTCTCTGCGCTTCGCAGTGCACGCTCACTCTGACTGACACACGCGGGCTGGGCTTTATTTGGAAGGAAGGAGGACACTCCCCCCTCCCTCCCCCCTGCAGGAACTGGGAGGGAGTCAAGTCAATCAGGAGTTTCTCCCTGGAGGAAGGGTTATAATCACTTTGTCCTTGTTTACACACAACCCTTTACACGAGGTGTGTGCGTGTGTGTGCGTGTGTGTGGTGGGAAGAGGGTAGGGTGATACAATACATACATTATGTAGGAATGCAGTTAGGTGCAGCTTTTTAGGTCAGCAACATAGAACAATAAATGCATCACTGATTAAACTAAATAAAATTAAAACAGGCTTTGGAAATAGTAATGTCACTGTTCTGTTTGTGGTTTGTTGTCGAATATTCAGATGCTTTACACAATATTTGGTGGAGAAATTAAAAATAAAACCTAAACTGAGTACATGTCAAATACTTTGGTGCTTGAACGCAGCAAGAATTATTATAAATCCTAAAAAAAAAACCACAGACATCTTTGATTTTTATAAATTAGAAACTGTATTCTAACTTCTCACTTAAATATACTTTAATTCATCTGGGGTTTTGATTATTTTTAATATGTGCAATTTACATAATTTAAACTTTTGTTGTCTGTTACTGCTTCACCTGCTCTGTGCTGTATGAACTTACTTTTTATATATGAATGTTTCTGGTCAGTGCCCTGCAGTGGTGGAGAAAGTACTCAAACACTGTACTTAAGTACAGTAACGAAGTATTTGTACTTAGTTACATCCCAACACTGGTGCCCTGAGGTGACTTCTGTTGTGACTTGGCTCTGCTGTGTATAAATAAAGTGAATTAAAGTGTGATCTTGTATTTCATTGCAATATTCAACTTTTATTTCAGACTCGTTGCGTCACGAGCTTTATGCATGTGCACTTTTAGATGCATTCTCCTCACTTTGGTGCTTTGTCATTAATCTGCAAGGGAGCAAATAGATGGAAACAACATAAATAAATCAATCTGAAATCTGAACGTTGACACAGGTAAACCAATTAAAATTAGATTTTTTTTTTCAATTATCCAGCTCAATTTGGTCCAAGGGTTAAAAGTGATAACAGTAGATGCCTTAAGAAGAATTATTTTAGCAAAACACATTTTACTGCTCAGTGGATTAAACATGGAGTCATAAAACATTCTAACGTGGATGTAAAAGGTTTTTTTTTTTTTTATTTTTTACATCAGGTATTGTTTTGATTTTTTCAACTGAATGGGATTTATTTGTCTTCGTTTATGCCAAACAGCTCGTCAGTTCTGAACCCTTGTGAACTGGTCGCAGATGTTTGACAGTAAATTTGACCCAAACCAGTTTATTCATCATCTGGTTCTGCAAACATGAAGAAAGTGCAACGATACTATCGTTCATCCGTCAGTGCCCCTCGCCTCTGGTGGTGGCCCACCCGCTATTGTGACAGGCCCTCCAGGGTGAACCCCGCTCCACTGACACGTGCTCCTCCGGCACCCCGCCTCCGGTGACGTGGGCCCCTATAGTCCCGAGCGTGGATGCAGAACAGCACTCCAATGTCCCCCATCAGCCTCCAGACCAAAACACACAGCCACCACAGACCAACCCCTGGCAGGATGGTGGGAACCCACGTGTGACATGCGTGGAGGTCTGGAGAAAGGCGACATGTGCCCAGTGATCCATGGCCCGCGCCTGAACCTCAGAACCGGACCGTAGCGGCCGGTTGGGCGAGGGCTGCCATGCTGCTGCGACTCTTGGGTACCTGCTCCCACTGCCTCCCGCCCGGGAGGTTTCGAGGGGGGTTCAAATCCAAATGCCTAGCACAACTGATAGGGAAGCGATGTGTGGGTGCTGTTGATGGAGTCCTTTTCCAGATGTTACTCGAATCAGGGGCTCAAGTGACTATGGTGGGAAGAACCTGGATGGAAAAAAATACTCCCCCATGTCCAAATCCAACCACTTGAATCCCTACACTGTAATAAATCCAACTTTGTTTTTTTACAGTGTACTCCAACCTTTGTCTGGGTCATTAGGTCAGGCTGAACTGAAGTCACTGGTGGAGTTTTAGTTATGGTGCCAAGGCGTCTCAGTCCCGGCCTCCTCATTAAGACTTGATGATTTCATCAAGAGAAAGTCATCAATGAAAGGTTTGAGGTCAAGTCGAACATGCTTGTTTTTCTCATTGGGAAGGCGTGTGGAGAAAACTGTTAGTCATAGACTCAGCACCAGGCTGTTGTGATTCAAATACAACGAGCTGACGTTTATTCTGTACTGAAACTGCTGCTCTCCTTGTCTTGCTGCTTACTTACCTCTTGGAAAAGTTCAGTACTGTTTTTGTCCCTGAAGAGTGCACGGAGAAACCGCTTTAGCTCATCAACGGTTAAATCTCCTTTATTCGTTAACATTTCCCTGAAGGTTTGATGATCTTAATCACAGTGAGAGTTACCTCTGACTCGGTAAAACCTCCTTGCTGCAGCCCTTCTTGTGGCTGTGGCTGAGTGGTTAGAGCAGTCGTCCTTCAATGCAAGAGTTGGGGGGTTGATTCCACCAGCAGTCACTTGCTGAAGTGAAGAACTCTTGCAGGAGGCAAAGAGCAGAGGAGGCAGGGAGCTCCAATCATGACATTCTGTTCTCTTTTAGAGCGTTTAGAGTTGAGAAACAGTGTTTACAATATTGCAAAATTGTGGAAAGGGTTTAAAATGCCTTTATATATATATATATACATATATAATAAAATAAATACTACTTATTACTTGTACTACTATTCCTACTTTGCGGTTTTTCACTTGTCTTCATGGTACGGATCCCCCGTGATAAACGATGGACTACTGTAGTAGAGCGCAGTATGAATGGGTAAATGAAGCATAGATTGTGTCGTAAACTGCTTTGAGTATCTTGATAAGATGGAAAGGTGCTAAATACAAATTATTTACCATTTATCTATTGTTTACAAAGGTCCTGTTAGAAACCAACATCAGTGATTTAGACGCTGCCTCCGCTGGATGCCTAACAGCATGGAGCAGACTGGATGTGACTCAGACAGTATGTGTTCATGCATATGACTGTGGCTGCTCATCAGCAGAGACCAAAATAAATAGAGGCGGTTGTGTGTGTGTCAGACAAGGTTACTTTGGGCTTGTTAGCCCACAGCGGGGGGTCGTCTTGGTCTAAAGGGAGGGGGTTGTTGTCTTAACGCCGCTGCCAATGTTTCACTCGCTGCATGCTGGGTCGGCGATTACCACTCTGCACCACCAGCCCAACAAACAGCACTGTTGTGTGTGTGTGTGTGTGTGTGTGTTGGGGTGTGTGTGTGTGTGTGTGAGCAAACAGTTTCCAAAAAGGGAAGAAGCAGAACAGCATTGTGATAGCACTAATTAAAGTCATTCACACTTCTTATTGGATTTATCAGCTTCAAATAGAGCAGAGACAGTCTGGCAGACAGTTTCCAATCCACATGTTTTATCAGAACTAATTAGTTCCAAACTTCAGTGTTTGTAAATGGGTGTTTGCTTTAGATCAGTTTGGGGTCTCAAATAGGTGGGGTTGACTGCTAAAAACCCACTGCTAGTTGTAAATTGTTCAGCAAAAGCCAAATCTTTATTAAAGTAAGTGTGATTGTTTTAGTGAGTCAATGATTTATTGGATTTGACAATTATCCGATGGAAAAGTTGAGCCGATCACTGCACCAAATGATAAAAGTTAAATATTCAAATATTCATGTGAAAATTATTTGTAGTAAAATAATAAAAAGTGCACCTCAATCACGTTTAGTTATAAATTGACACAATGCGTCACTTTCTGATAAGATTTTTAATCAAACTGCCAACTTTAAGATTTCAGAACATCATTTTCACTCAACCAGCATGTTGCATTCAGGTGCCTGACTTCAAGTTCCTACTTTGTAAAAAGACAGGTATTCAAATTCAGTTCAGTTCAAAGTACTTTATCAGTCACAAATGGAAATTAAATGATGCTGCAACTCATCATCCTGGTTTCATTAGAGCCGTTATGCAGATGGCTGTGGGCAGGAAGTATCTCTTGTAACATCTGTCTCCATTCATCCATCCATCCGTCCGTCCGTCCGTCCATCCATCCATCCATCCATCCGTCCGTCCGTCCGTCCGTTCGTCCGTCCGTCCGTCCGTCCGTCCATCCATCCATCCATCCGTCCGTCCGTCCGTCCGTCCGTCCGTCCGTCCGTCCGTCCGTCCGTCCGTCCGTCCGTCCGTCCATCCATCCATCCATCCATCCATCCATCCATCCCATAAATTGGACCTACAACAAATAGTGTAACATGCAGTTGGATAAAACACATTCAAAAGGTGGTGCCAAAGACAAAAGAGATGAAGATCTATAAATCTATCCATCAGTCATGTTTACCTTCCGGTCTGACCGGCCAAATTAATCCCTGCCCAGATTAAATTTAATCCAGCCCAGAGTGTACCCCTAGGGATAAACTGTCCTAGACCAAACTGTACCCAGTGTGTGTAAAATAGCCTATCAGACTACTGTATACCCCTCCAGGCCAGAATGGACCCATTTATGGGGGCTGACATGGGGTAGAGATAGGTAGGGCAGCCGACTTGAGACCCAAAACTCTCAGGTTCGATCCCCAGACATTCCCACATGCCGTGGTGTTTCTGAACAGGACACCTAATCCTCAATTGCTCCCTGGGCACATACATAGCTGCCCACTGCTCCACCTGGGTGTATCCCAGGTGTGATGGGTTAAATGCAGAGAACTAATTTCCCAATTGTATAGAGACATACAATGATGACAACACACAGCACTTATTCTTAATTTATTACCCATAATCTGGCCTGAGGGGTATGAATTATCCAAGGCGTTTAGTAATTGCCTAATGTTCATATGAAACATTTATTATTGACCTCATAATAAACGTTGAGTGAGTTTTAAGATTAAAGTCAGTTAGTTTTCTCACTTAAGTTACCTGACAAAACTGGACCGCCAATAAAATGTTGAAAATAATCTTGTGTATATGACTCAGCA